ACACACACACACACACACACACACACACACACACACACACACACACACATATATATCACTCTTCCCAAATACATTCGTTCCTAGTTTGCTTCATATTATCAAAAATAACTGCCACTCTGAGTGTACCATAAGCCTTCTTTCTTTTAGATCTTTTTTATTGACTTGTGTCTCTTTTTCCAGCATTCTCAGTTCTTATCTTGCCATTGCGATAGATTTCATCAGGAAAGCTTTATGTATTTATTTATTTTTGGTTGTTTTTTGTTTTTGTTTTTGAGATGGAATCTTACTCTGTTGCCCACGCTGGAGTGCAGTGGTGTGATCTCAGCTCACTGCAACTTCCGCCTCCCGGGTTCAAGCAATTCTTCTGCCTTGACCTCCTAAGTAGCTGGGATTATAGGCGTGCACCAACAGGCCCAGCTAACTTTTTTGTATTTTTAGTAGAGGTGGGATTTCACCATATTGGCCAGGCTGGTCTCAAACTCCTGAGCTTGTGATCTGCCCACCTCAGCTTCCCAGAGTGCTGGGATTACAGACTTGAGCCACTGCACCTGGCACCATTATAATAGATTTCTTTCAGGCTTTCTTCAGCCTGTCTTTAAAAAGAGAGAAAATTATTGGTTAGTGGTCCTCTTCTTACTTAACATTTCCTTTCCTTCATACCACCTCGGCTTTGTTTTCTGTGCTAAGTTCCCCTTCTCACTACAAATTTAGCTGTTAATTTTAGAACTCACTTAACACGACCCAGGTTGATAAAGTCGAAGTTGTCATTTTCTTCCATTAAACCTTTGTGGTTCATTTTACATGGCTTTTCATCATTCCTGCAATCAATCCTTCATTTAAGTGATATAACACTAATTCTTATCCTAACTCCTTGAATGCTTATTTACAACTTGGCCTCTTTTCTTCACCACTGTGGCTATATCACCTGAAAAATGCTTGGCATATAATAGTCACAACAGATTTTATTTTTTAAAATATATGTTTATTGTTTCACTGGACACTTGGTCTCATTTCTCTCATATGCCCTCACATGATCTACCTTTCAATTATAATGATTCCATCCATTCTCAGACTGACACTCTTTATTTTATGTGTAGCTGGCACTGACGTCAATATACAAAGCACATTTCTCCTACCTTCACTCCAGTTCATCAGGCGTACTACAGTCTATCATCTCACCTGTTTTCTGACAATGTGTCAGAAATGAAAATCACTGGCTTTTTCAGCTCTTAAAATTTTTCCCATTTATTTATTTATTTATTTGTTATTTATTATTATTATTATTTTTTGAGACGGAGTCTTGCTCTGTCGGCCAGGCTGGAGTGCAGTGGTGCAATCTTGGCTCACTGCAACCTCCGCCTCCTGGGTTCACGCCATTCTCCTGCCTCAGCCTCCCAAGTAGCTGGGACTACAGGCGCCAGCCACCACGCCCAGCTAATTTTTTGTATGTTTAGTAGAGACGGGGTTTCAGTGTGTTAGCCAGGATGGTCTCAATCTCCTGACCTTGTGATCTGCCTGCCTTGACCTCCCAAAGTGCTGGGATTATAGGCATGAGCCACCACGCCCAGCCATAGGGATTTATTATTTTTGAGATGGAGTCCTGCTCTGTCGCCCAGGCTGGAGTACAGTGGTGCGATCTCGGCTCACTGCAAATTCCACCTCCTGGGTTCAAGTGATTTTCCTGCCTCCGCCTCTAGAGTAGCTGGGATTACAGGTGCCCACCACCACGCCCAGCTAATTTTTGTATTTTTAGTAGAGATGGGGTTTCGCCATGTTGGCCAGGCTGGTCTTCAACTCCAGACCTCAGGTGATCCACCCGCCTCAACCTCCCAAAGTGCTCAGATTACAGGCATGAGCCACTGTGCCCGGCCTCCCAAAGTGCTCCAATTACAGGCATGAGCCACCGTGCCTGTCCTCCCATTATTTAATTCAATATTATTATTATTTTTTGAGATGGAGTTTCACTCTTGGTGCCCAGGCTGGAGTGCAGTGGGGTGATCTTCACTCACCGCAACCTCCGGCTCCCAGGTTCAAGGAATTCTCTTGCCTCAGCCTCCCTAGTAGCTGGGATTACAGGCATGTGCTACCATGCCCGGCTAATTTTGTATTTTTAGTAGAGATGGGGTTTCTCCCTGTTGGTCAGGCTGGTCTTGAACTCCTGACCTCAGGTGATCTGCCCGACTTGGCCTCCCAAAGTACTGGGATTATAGGCATGAGCCACTGCGCCCGACCCTTCCAAAATTATTTTGTTTCTACTACAAAGTCAACTTGGTTTTTCTGTTTCTCTTACCATCTCTTCACAATTTGTGATATGGTTATCAGCTTGTGAAATATATTGACATCCTCCCATATTCTCATTTCTCAGTGACATCATACAAAATGACAACTATCTTATTTCATGTATTTATTACTGGAATTACCATTTGTCTTTATGATAAGTTTTGTCTGGATTCATTCAATGTTTATTGTTACTTTCCTCACAAAGTATCCCATCAATTTTTCCCTATTTTTTTATCGTTTATTATATGAAATTGAAATTTTTTTCAGGAACTGTCACAATAAGCCCTCATCTGGTCTTTTCAACTTTCTCTTGGAGAAAATTCTTGATAATTTCCACATGATCTAGTCTCCTAATTGTTGTTCATGAATGTAGGGTTTGTTATCACATAGATACTTTTCATTGTGTTGTGTTCTCCCTTTATACTATATGTCGTTTTTGTTTTGGTTTTTTTTTTTTTTTTGAGACGGAGTCTCACTCTGTCGCCCAGGCTGGAGTGCAGTGGCTTGATCTTGGCTCACTGCACGCTCTGCCTTCCTGGTTCATGCCATTCTCCTGCCTCAGCCTCCTGAGTAGCTGGGACTACAGGTGCCTGCCACCACGCCCGGCTAATTTTTTGTATTTTTTATTAGAGACGGGGTTTCACCGTGTTAGCCAGGATGGTCTTGATCTCCTGACCTTGTGATCCGCCCGCCTTGGCCTCCCAAAGTGCTGAGATTACAGGCGTGAGCCACCACGCCCGGCCTATACTATATATCTTCTAAGTCTCGGGATTTCTCTGTGAACTCTTCGTTGATTACTGCACATCATATCTACCTTACTTTTTTTCTGAATTCCTGTGCTAACTACTGACTGTAACGCAAACATGCACAGTTATTTAATACAGTCATATAATTTCATTCCTAATTGTTTATGCTTAAGGATTTTTAAGGATGCTTCAGGATTCTTTCCCTCAAAAATAAGATCCCTTTTGAATCTTCATTTCTTTGAGGGAATCAAGCATTCTTTTCCTCAAAGATAAGATTCCTTTTGAACCTTCATTACTGTGGTATTATTTAACATGTTAGGTGTTCAGTAGTTGCTGCGTTAATTGCTTATGGAGCTATGTAAGGGAGATATCTTTTCATCCATTCAGAAAGCACATACTAGCAAGTTCTTTTTAGATGTACCTACTCATGCTGTATCCCTATACGTTGTGCTTGAAGTGGTTGCATTCTGCCAGACATCACCTAACTATGATTATGAAGTGATCATGTAAACTCAAAAGAATTTTCTTTTTTTAAGACGGAGTCTCGCTCTGTCATCCAGGCTGCAGTGCAGTGGTGTGATCTCGGCTCACTGTAAACTCCACCTCCCAGGTTCAATTGATGCTCCTGACTCAGCCTCCGGAGTAGCTGGGACTACAGGCGCATGCCACCATGACTGGCCAGCTTTTTTTGTATTTTTATTAGGGACAGTTTCATCATGTTGGCCAGGCTGGTCTGGAACTCCTGACCTCAGGTGATCTGTCCACCTCGGCCTGTCAAAGTGCTGGGATTACAAGCATGAGCCACTGTGCCCAGCCCAAAAGAGTTTAAAGATCACCAAAAAAGTATTTCTATGACAAAGGATCACTATCAAGTCTGCATTTTTCATGAAATATTTATGTCAAAGTGTAAGGTTGTTAAAAGAGTTGTTAACATAGTTTTTATAGACAATAATTATATTGAAAATTTTAAAGAAATAGAGCTTAAGGCCAGGCGTGGCACTCTAGCCTGGTCGACAGAGCGAGACTCCGTCTCAAAAAAAAAGAAATAGAGCTTAAAATGGTGGGAGAAATATATGAAGGGTTTATGAGATGGTGGAATGATACGATTTCTTTGAAGATTCTCTGAAGATAAATGGAAGTAAACCTGGAAGGCAAGCTAATTAATTAAAAGAATGTGTACACAAGCGTGTTTTTAGGAATAAGTAAGGTATATATAGGGCAGTAAGTATCAGGCCTGACAGAGGCAAAAACTACCTGTTATAAACAGGTGAGATCTGTCAGGTATGTGGACAACCCTGAAAACTTGTGAGAATATGAAAAATGAATCTAGACAATATAGTTTTGTTTACAGGAGAAATTCCTTGTATATGTTAGTATTGGAGTTTTTGGACTTAATGAAGAAATAGATTTTTGAGCATAGCTTTAACATTGCTTCATTAGATATAGATGATTGCAAGGTAAGTACAGTTAGAAATAGCTATACTGTTATAAGAGAAATGAAGGTTAAAGTTAATGTATGATCTAGGACCAGATTATTTAATCTACCATATGAAATTAGTATTCTGATCTACCATATGAAAAGCTGGAATAAAGGAATGTTACTGCATTGGGGAAGGATGTAAGCCAGTCTTTCCTTAAATCTGAAAAAGTGAGTCAGTAACTGAAAAGAGGACTAGTCATGAGAACTTTGTTATTGAACAATTCTGAAAGAAGTGATTTAGCAGCTGTCTGAAAACGGCAATTGAATATATTCTGATCTGTTTTAAAGTTGCTATTGGAAGTATTTTGCTAATTTTCCCTTCATAAGAGAAAATAATTCCTACCTATGTAGAGGATTAGAGCATAGACTATAGGATTGTTTTGCTAAATACTAGAAAATGAATTGATAATTTGAAAGCTAAATTAATCAATGACAACTACATAGAGAGAGGAGGTGGGTTCAACAGCTGTATGTGTTTTACCACAGTCATCTAGGGATGTGTGTATAAAAGTATTGGTGATCGGCCAGGCACAGTGGCTCGTACCTGTAATCCCAGCACTTTGGGAGGCCAAGGCGGGCAGATCAAGAGGTCAGGAGTTCGAGACCAGCCTGGCCGGCCTGGTGAAACCCCATCTCTACTAAAAATACAAAAAAGTAGCTAGGCATGGTGGCACGTGCCTGTAATCCCAGCTACTCAGGAGGCTGAGGCAGGAGGATCACTTGAACCCGGGAGGCAGAGGTTGTGATGAGCTGAGATCATGCCACTGCACTCCAGCCTGGGCGACAAAGTGAGACTCTGTCTTTAAAAAAAAAAAAATTATAGGTGATCTGTGTCCTCCAGAAGTAATCTTTCCTCTAGTATTTTCACTAAACAAAGATTTTTACTAATTTTTCTTGTCCATCCTACTGACATTTTAATGCTTTTGATACGTTCACTTCATTTTTTCTGAACACTTACCTAACCATCAACCCCCTTCTACCATTCTTTGACTTCTTGGTTGGTTTCACTTTCTCTAGGTTCTAGTGCAAAATGCAGAAGGTATTAATGCTTATTCTTTACATCTTCATCCTTTTCCACTCTGAAGCAGTTTTTGTTTAGGTTCCCCTCCCCGCACCCCCGCCAGGCCAGTGGTCATTTGTCCTGGGTCTCTTTTTGTGCCATATGCTAGACCCTAGTAAAATTCCTTTGCATAGCAAATGTGTGAAGATTCACAAATTGTTATCAATTATATTCTTTTCTAGAAGAAAACTGGAAAGCTGAAGACTTTTTAGTAAAATTCAAGGAACACCAAGAGAAGTATTCTAGATCAGTTGTAAGCATCAACCACAAAAAACTGGTGAAGGAGAAGAGTAAAATATATGAAAAGACATTTACTCTAGGCAAAAACCCTGTTAATTCAAAAAATCTACCTCCTGAATATGATACTCATGGAAGGATTTTGAAAAATGTTTCAGAATTAATCATCAGTAATCTAAATCCTACAAGAAAGAGACTTAGTGAGTATAATGGGTATGGGAAATCACTCCTGAGTACTAAACAAGAGACTACTCATCCTGAAGTCAAATCCCATAATCAAAGTGACAGAGCTTTCAGTCATAATGAAGTTCTTATGCAGTATCAGAAAACAGAAATTCCAGCACAGTCATTTGGATATAATGACTGTGAAAAATCAGTCCTTAAAAGGGGAGGCCTGATTACACATAATAGACCTTACAGAGGAGAAAACCCATCTGTATATAATAAAAAGAGAAGAGCAACCAATATTGAAAAAAAACATACATGCAATGAATGTGGTAAATCCTTCTGCAGGAAATCAGTATTGATTCTGCATCAGGGAATTCACTCAGAAGAAAAACCCTATCAATGTCATCAATGTGGAAATGCATTTAGAAGGAAATCATATCTCATTGATCATCAGAGGACTCACACAGGAGAGAAACCCTTTGTTTGCAATGAATGTGGTAAGTCCTTCCGCCTAAAGACAGCCCTAACTGATCATCAGAGAACACACACAGGGGAGAAATCATATGAATGTCTGCAGTGTAGGAATGCCTTCAGATTGAAGTCACACCTCATTCGTCATCAGAGAACTCACACGGGAGAGAAACCATATGAGTGTAATGACTGTGGGAAGTCCTTCCGCCAGAAGACCACACTCTCTCTACATCAGAGAATTCATACAGGTGAGAAACCCTATATTTGTAAAGAATGTGGGAAGTCCTTTCACCAGAAGGCAAATCTTACTGTACACCAGAGAACTCATACAGGGGAAAAGCCCTACATTTGTAATGAATGTGGGAAATCTTTCTCCCAGAAGACAACCCTTGCTCTTCATGAGAAAACCCATAATGAAGAGAAACCCTATATTTGTAGTGAATGTGGAAAGTCTTTCCGCCAGAAGACAACCCTTGTGGCACATCAGAGAACACATACAGGGGAGAAATCTTACGAATGTCCTCACTGTGGGAAGGCCTTTAGAATGAAGTCATACCTCATTGATCATCACCGAACTCACACGGGAGAGAAACCGTATGAATGTAATGAATGTGGTAAATCATTCAGTCAAAAGACAAATCTCAATCTACATCAGAGAATTCATACGGGAGAGAAACCCTATATTTGTAATGAATGTGGGAAGTCTTTTCGCCAGAAAGCAACCCTCACTGTACATCAGAAAATACATACAGGCCAGAAATCCTATGAATGTCCTCAGTGTGGGAAAGCCTTTAGCAGGAAGTCATATCTCATTCATCATCAAAGAACTCATACGGGAGAGAAACCATATAAATGTAGTGAATGTGGAAAGTGCTTCCGCCAGAAGACAAATCTTATTGTACATCAGAGAACTCACACAGGTGAGAAACCCTATGTTTGTAATGAATGTGGTAAGTCTTTCAGTTATAAGAGAAACCTCATTGTCCATCAAAGAACTCACAAGGGAGAAAACATTGAAATGCAATAAATGATGTGGTTTCGGCCGGGCGCGGTGGCTGAAGCCTGTAATCCCAGCACTCTGGGAGGCCGAGGCGGGTGGATCACGAGGTCAGGAGATCGAGACCATCCTGGCTAACATGGTGAAACCCCGTCTCTACTAAAAATACAAAAAACTAGCCGGGCGTGGTAGTGGGCGCCTGTAGTCCCAGCTACTCGGAGGCTGAGGCGGGAGAATGGCATGAACCCGGGAGGCGGAGCTTGTAGTGAGCCGAGATCGTGCCACTGCGCTCCAGCCTGGGCAACACAGCGAGACTCTGTCTCAAAAAAAAAAAAAAAAAGATGTGGTTTCTTATATGAATTCTTTACAAGCTATTGTAAACCTTTAGTTTTAAAAAGAAAAGCATGCTGAAACATGTTAATGTACTTTTAAATCAAGTCTAATAATTATTAAAGTACCATACTGAATAACTGTCTACTGTTTACTAGCATATAAAATGGGTGTGATCATTATTATTGAACTCTATCAGCTATGAAGCTAAATTTTAAAGTCTTCAACTGCTCTTCCTACTGACTCAAATAGTTTATTTTTTAAAAATACTTACATAACACATGCAGAGACAAGATACGGAATGATTACAAGCATTAATCTCCATAAGAGAAAATATTTATGAACTATATTTCTCGTTGCACTCTGTAATAAAAAGCAGTTAGTTGTTACTTACCTAAGAGTTACCACTTCCGTAGCCTATAACATCAAAACGTAGTTTTTGCATGTTTACAATTTTATATATATATATTTTATCAGACATGAATTCTTTTATGTCTTGCTTATTTTCACTCAGTGTTTTTAAGATCTGTACATTATTGCACGTGGCAGTAGTGTATTTTCATTTTGCATACTATTCCATTTTAAGAATATATTCCTATTTATCCTATTGATGGATATTTGTATTTTTATACTTTTGTGTAATAATAAAATTGCTGCTGTAAATATTCTTGTTTATGTCATGTGTGTTTGTGTGTATGTATTTCTGTTGAATTTATACCTGGGACCGGAATTATTCCAAGAGTGTATACGAAGTTTTTTTTTTTTTTTTTGGTCATTTAGACTGAAGAATTTCTACTAAAAAGAAACCTTGCGGTTTTATAATTGTGAAAAGGCTATAGATCATGGACATGTGAATGCAGTAAATGTAGACAGCCTTTAGCTGTCTCTCAATGCTTAAATGCAAAACAAGCAAATTCATATGGGAGGGAAATCCTCTAGTTGTCATGATTTTAGGGGTACTTCAGCCATAGCTTATTACATCTTATTTAATATCAAGGAATTAGAATTCATACAAAAGAAAGGGACATTGAGAAGCGAAATAGGTGAGGAAAATTTGAGAGTATCAGAGTCTTTTTTTTGTTTGTTTTTTTGAAACGGATTATCGCTCTGTTGCCCAGGCTGGAGTACAGTGGCGCAATCTTGGCTCACTGCAGCCTCTGCCTCCTGGGTTCAAGCGCTTCTCCTGCCTCAGCTTCCTGAGTAACTGGGATTACAGGCATGTGCCACTATGCCCAGCTAATTTTTATGTTTTTAGTAGAGACGGGGTTTCACCACGTTGGTCAGGCTGGTCTCGAACTCCTGACCTCATGATCCTCCTGCCTCGGCCTCCCAAAGTGCTGGGATTACGGGGTGACCCACCGTGCCTGGCTACAACACAAGCCTTTTATACTTTATGTCATAGGAAATGTAAGTCTCTGAAAATCCCAAATAAGTGACTAGAGATTTTTATGTTTGAGAATTGGAAATCTGCTAAGACAGTGACTTCCACAGTGTCCTTTTGGCAAGAAGAGTAAGCTCAGTGGCAACTTGAACAGCGTAATATTGCAGGTCCTTCCTGGGAAGGATTACTTACAACCAATATTTACTACATACATGAAGTCACTGTAATAAAATTCAGTAGAAATTGATATTTATTTATTTATTATTTTGAAACGGAGTCTCTATCGCCCAGGCTGGAGTGCAATGGCGTGGTCTCAACTCACTGCAACCTCCGCCTCCCGGGTTCAGATGATTCTCCTGCCTCAGCCTCCCGAGTAGCTGGTACTACAGGTGCGTGCCACCACACCCAGCTAATTTTTGTATTTTTAGTAGAGACAGGGTTTCACTGTGTTGGCCAGGCTGGTCTCGAACTCCTGACCTCGGGATCCATCTGCCTCGGCCTCCCAAAGTGCTGGGATTACAGGCGTGAGCCACCGTGCCCAGCCTGACAATTATTTTTTAAAAGATTTCAAACTGTAAACCGTGTCTGCATGAACAGGAAGATGGTTCATGGTTCAAATATTTGACTTTAAATACATTAAACAGACCCTCTAGCCTATTAGAAAGGAACAGCCATTGCCAATCAGTAGTAAATGGAACCATTGTTGTCAATCCTTATTTTTCTGATAATTTCATAGCAAAAGATGAACAGGGTGATGAGACAGCATAAAAATTTAGACTTGATAGTAGCATACAGAAAACACGTTGTATGTATGTGTGTATATATGTAAAATGCCTTGTCTATAATGACTAGACAGATGTCATTAAATTTAGCCTTAATTTATATATGCATAAAGAATTTTTAAAGAACATACATAGAATAAACCTATTAAGGTAACTAAAACAGGTAATTATAGGACTTAAAATCAGAACTGTGAGAACCCAAGGATGTTGTCATTGTGAATTTATAGGGGAGTTATATAGTAGTATATGCAAACAGTGGTGACTAATGGAAGAATTGTACTCATGACCAAAGATGCAAGCCTACCTTGTTTTTCTAGGTGGAGAAGATGGCCTAACTGGATGTTTGTCCTAGCATCAGCCCACCAAAGATTTGGGGAACATGTGAGTCACATTCTCTGGAACATTGTGCTCCCCTTTGATTTTGCGTTTCCAGACATTTCAGTGGCTACCACAAAAAATAAAAAGTATCTGTGGTATCACTACATGTGCTGCCCTGTCTCCTGATTTACTGATTATCATGAAATAGCCATGTACTGTTTCAGTAGAACATTGTATCCAATGTCCACTTTATTTTCAAACATACTACATATATTCATGTTTTATAGCTCTTGGATATGAAGAACTAGAAAGTATGGTGTATTAATGGGCAGTTTTATAAATGGCCAAACTTCGAAACTTTGAGTCCGGGCATGGTGGCTCACACCTGTAATCCCAGCACTTTGGGAGGCTGAGATCGGCGGATCACCTAAGACCAGGAGTTTGAGACCAGCCTGGCCAACATGGTGAAACCCTCTCTCTACTAAAAATACAAAAGTTAGCCAGGTGTGTGGCGCATGCCTGTAATCCCAGCCACTGCCACTCGGGGGCTTGAGGCAGGAGAATCACTTGAACCCAGTAGGTGGAGGTTGCAGTGGGCCGAGATGATGCCATTACACTCCTGCCTGGGCAAGAGAGTGAGACTCCATCTCAAAAAGAAAATACAATCATTAACCCAGAGATTATTTAAGGATGTTTTGTTATCTAAGAAAACTTCCATTGTAGGATATATAAACAATTCACAAAAGTATTTGTATAATAATCATTGAGCATCTTTCCATAATCATGCTCATAACTTTCAGTTTTAACATATTCTTTGCATGAAAAACTGACTAAATAGTTTCTTATGAAACTGTCTGTATTTCAGTTTTTTTGTTTGTTTTTTGAGACAGTTTCACTCTTGTTGCCCAGGCTGGAGTACAATGGGACTATCTCGGCTCACCACAACCTCTGCCTCCTGAGTTCAAGCGATTCTCCCACCTCAGTCTCCTGAGTAGCTGGGATTACAGGCATGCACCACCATGCCTAGCTAATTTTGTATTTTTAGTAGAGACAGGGTTTCTCCATGTTGGTCAGGCTGGTCTCGAACACCTGACCTCAGGTGATCCACCCACCTCGGCCTCCCATAGTGCTGAGATTACAGGTGTGAGCCACCGCGCCCGGCCGTATTTAATTTTTTTTTAACAATCATCATTCTGTTTTCCACAGTGGCTTCACCATTTTATATTCACAATGGCAATGCAAAATGTTTCAGATTTCTCAGGCCAGGTGTGGTGGCTCATGCCTGTAATCCCAGTGCTTTTGGAGGCTGAGGCAGTCCGATCAATTGAGGTCAGAAGTTCAAGACCAGCCTGGTCAACATGGCGAAACCCCATATCTACTAAAAATACAATAATTAGCAGGCTTAGTGGTGCGTGCCTGTAATCCCAGCTACTCAGGAGGCTGAAGCGGGAGAATTGTTTGAACCAGGCAGGCGGAGATTGCAGTGAGCAGAGATCGTGCCACTGCACTCCAGCCTTGGCGGAAAAGCAAGACTTCATCTCAACAAAAAAAAATTAGCTGGGCATGGTGGTGGGGTCCTGTAATCCCAGCTACTTGGGCGTCTGAAGAAGGGGAATAGCTTGAACCTGGGAGGCAGAGGTTGCAGTGAGCCGTGATTGTGCTACTGCACTCCAGTCTGAGTGACAGAGTGAGACTCCATCTCCAAAAAAAAAAAAAAAAGTTCAAATATCGTTTTTTTTTCTTTTTTTTTTTTTTCTGAGACGGAGTCTCGCTCTGTCGCCCAGGCTGGAGTGCAGTGGCCGGATCTCAGCTCACTGCAAGCTCCGCCTCCCAGGTTTACGCCATTCTCCTGCCTCAGACTCCCGAGTAGCTGGGACCAGGCGCCCGCGACCTCGCCCGGCTAGTTTTTTGTATTTTTTAGTAGAGACGGAGTTTCACTGCGTTAGCCAGGATGGTCTGGATCTCCTGACCTCGTGATCTGCCCATCTGGGCCTCCCAAAGTGCTGGGATTACAGGCTTGAGCCACCATGCCCGGCCAAAAGTTCAAATTTCTCCATATTCTTCCTATCACTTATTTTCCTTTAAAATTTTTTTTGAATTATAGCCTTTTTTGTGGGTGTCAATTATCTCATTGATATTTTGATTTACATTTCCCTAATGATTAATAATGTAGGTTTCTTTCATTCTTGAATATATTTTGCTGAAAATAGGATTTGGGATTGAGAGTTCTTCCTTTTAGCACTTGAAAAATGTCACTTTATTTTTGGTCTTCATAGTTTCTCATAAGAAATCTGCTATTTAAAATTGTTTTCCTCTAAAAATATAGTATTTCTCTCTTGCTACTTTCAACATTTTTATTTTTTGTCTTTAATTTTCTTTGATTTATTTTTTTATTTTTATTTTTGAGATGGAGTTTCATTCTTGTTGCCCAGGCTGGGATGCAATGATGTGATCTCTGCTCACTGCAACCTCTGCCTCCCAGTTTCAAGCGATTCCCCTGTCTCAGCCTCCCAGGTAGCTGGGATTACAGGTGCATGCCACCACACCTGGCTAATTTTGGTATTTTTAGTAGAGACAGGGTTTCACCCTATTGGCCAAGCTGGTCTCGAACTACTGACCTCAGGTGATCTGCCTGCGTCGGCCTCCCAAAGTGCTGAGATTACAGGTGTGAACCACTGCACCTGACCTTGTCTTTAATTTTCACAAGTTGGGGATGATGTGTTGTAGTGTTACATTTTGGGGATGGGAAGGGTTATCTTGTTTAAATTCACTCAGCTTCTTGAATCTGTCTTTTGCCAAATTTGGTGAGTTTCCAGCAATTACTACTTTAAGTCTTTTGTGGTAGGGGAGAGGGGTTGTCTTGCTCTGTCACCCAGTCTGGAGTGCAGTGGCATGATCACAGCTCACTGCAGCCTCGACCTCCTGGGTTTAAGCGATCCTCCCACCTCAGCTTCCTGAGTAGCTGGGACTACAGGAACGTACCACCAGGCCTGGCTAACTTCTGTATGTTTTATAGAGACAGGGTATCACCATGTTATCCAGGCTTTCTTAAGTACTTTTTCAGCCCTGTCTTCTTTTTCCTCTCCTTCCAGGATTTCAAGGGCATGGATGTTAATCTTGTGTTACATTTTCACAGTTCCTCATTCTTTTCATGTTATTTTTTTCAGTGTACTATCTCTCTGTTGTTCAGATTGGGTAACTCCTATTGTTCTGTATTGCAGTTCACCGATTCCTCTGTCACCTCTTTGTCCCTCCATTTGAGCTTATTTTAGTTATATTTTCAATTCTATATTCTCTGTTTGGTTATTTTGCATGTCTTCTAATTTCTTGTCTGGACTATTTGTTGAGATATTGTATCTCATTTGTTTCAAGTGTGTGATTGTTCAGGCATTTTTATGATGTCTGCTTTATGTATTTATCAAATAATTCTGACATCATTGTCATCTTCATGCTCTTATCTTTTTGAGATTTTCCTGGTTATGTTTATTGAATTTCCATTGAAATGTGCAATTTTATCTATTTTGAGATTGTAGATCTTATTTAAACCTGTTTTAGCTGGCTTTCTGATACCACCCTGACATGGTCCCTGGCAAGTGTGTCATTTTGCTGTGCCACATAGGGGGTGAGAATCCAGATTTCCCACTCACCCTCCACTGACACCTGGGCGGAAGTGCTCCTCCTCACAGGTGTGAATGAGGAGTTCTGGCTCCCTATTAGTCACCATTTTATACCTCTCTTATACCCCAATAAGAGCCAGGGGTGCCTTGTTAATGGTTTCCATTTGCCTTCCACATACACCACAGAGGCAGGGCTGGCCCTGTTAGGCAGGATAGTGGTGAAGATCCTGACTTTACAATGCCTGCTCCGACACTGGCCCAGCAGGTAGTTAAACAAGTACCTTTTTACTGCTGCATATGGGGATGGAAATCCAGGTTCCCCACATGAGTCCAGGGGGCCTACGTAATTCCATCTGTAGTGTGATAGTCCTGGCTCCCTTCAGTCTTTCTGAAACCATCCTGGCAGGGAGGTCAGAGTATCTTGTTACAGCCTAGTGAGAGTAGAAGTCTAGGTTCCCTACTCAGCCTTTCCTAGGTGCATGTGTGGCATCAGGTGTTTTAGGTTCTTTTTTTTTTTTCCTGTGCTTTTTGGTTAGAGTAGATCTTTTTTTTTTTTTTTTGAGACAGAGTTTCACTTCTTCACCCAGGCTGGAGTGCAATGGTGCGATCTCAGTTCACTGCAACTTCTGCCTCCCAGGTTCAAGCAATTCTCCTGCCTCAGCCTCCCGAGTAGCTGGAATTACAGGTATGTGCCACCACACCTGGCTAATTTTGTATTTTTAGTAGAGAAAAGTTTTCCCATGTTGGTCAGGCTGGTCTCAAACTCCTGACCTCAAGTGATCGGCCTGCCTCGGCCTCCCAAAGTGCTGGGATTATAGGCTTGAGCCACTGCGCTTGGCTGAGTAGAGCAATTCTTATCTAGAAGTTTTGTCTCACTTAGGTGCCCTTTTCTTGGTCTTTTTCTACACAGAGCAGCCTTTTGTTAGGACTTTTTTTCCTTTTTGAGACAGAGTCTCGCTCTGTCACCAAGCTGGAGTGCAGTGGCACAATCTCGGCTCACCGCAACCTCCACCTCCTGGGTTCAAGCAGTTCTCCCGCCTCAGCCTCCCGGGTATGGGATTACAGGCATGTGCCACCACACTCGGGTAATTTTGTATTTTTAGTAGAGATGGGGTTTCTCCATGTTGGTCAGGCTGGTCTTGAACTCCCAACTTCGTGATCTGCCCTCCTTGGCCTCCCGAAGTACTGGTATTACAGGCATGAGCCACCGCTCCTGGCCTGTTATTTGTTTGTTCATTTGTTTTTTTCTTTAGGCCAATAATAGATAAAACAATGCCATGTGCCTCCTAATGAGATGCAGTGAGAAGGATACAACATCATGGCTGTAATGGTATTTCTGCTTAAAATGTATAACCTGTATCTAAAATGAGGAAACGTCAGACAAATCTGAATCGAGGTTATTAAGAACAATGATTCTAATTAAATTGCATGAAATAGAGGAAAAGTAAGTAAATACTCTCTATTCCTGAATTTTAATGGGTGGGAGTATCACTTTGACCAGTCCAGCAGTAATACATATCACTAGCACATACATTATGGTATTTATGGACCATTTCCTGCTAAAAGAAACCAGGATTTCTTGGGAGAAGTGGCTGATTCCAAGTATAGGCAGAAAATTTTTAATGAGCCTGCAGTATTTTGTCATACCAGATAATAACAAAGCTAATTTAAAAAATCAGTAGATTAATGACAAAGCACTGCCAACTTGGAAAGGCTCCCAATGACCAAGGATAGGACAAATCAAGCTTAAATATAAAAATAATTTATATTTGAAACATACCAAATACATTTACATTTGAATAAATATAAATTACATTTACATTTATAA